ACTTGAATTCTAGGCTGGATGGGAAGTTGTTGTTAAGCAAGTATAAATTGCTTCATATTCGATTCAGGTACAATAAATAGTATAATGTTGTGTTCTGGAAATTATCATCTCAGATTAATTTCTGTCTGCAACACAAAACAATTGACTTTTCATAAGCTCTTTCTATGACAGCTCATACACGTCCTGTTTGCAGAAGGAACACACTGCTGATACATTTTACCAAATGAATACCACTTTTTAATCCCAATCTTTTAACACCAAGACAAAACATATTTTCACTGTGTAGTTTTTCATACTATTGGGTGAAACATACCATCCTTATAGTCAGTGGTGTTTCTCTTGAAATTTAGGGTCTGTAGCTTTTGTTTATAGTTCCAATAGTGCTTGCTACTTTAGATATAGATGGAGATGTTTCTCTGTTGAAACACAAAGGATTATGCAAGTAATGAATCATCATTTGAAACAGTAGAGTAATCTGAAACTTATTCTTTTAGACCTCCCCTTTCTCAGATGACATACAGGACCACACACACCAAAAATACAAAACAGGTCTGCACAATATTTCAGTCCTGGAAAGACTAGACACTGGGCGTGAAAAGAAGTCTACAGCTACAACTGAGAACCTGTGTCTCAGGTAGAACATCGATTCAAAGACTTTATTTGGTGTCTAAAGGTTTGTCTTTTGATCATTTTACTACGAAGGGAAAAATATTCTGTTTTTTTTGTTCGTCGGGGCCAAAGTATTTTTTTTCCTCTCGTGAGTCTCTGTTTCTTCAGCTTAACCAAATGGAAAGCACAGCCATAAAATGAACAGGAAAATCAACATTTATAACCTTGCAGGCTTGGTGAGAGGGATGCCCGGATCTGGTTTAGGAATGACATTTTATACTCTGTCTTCCTGGAGCACACAAAACTTTTAAATGGTCCTAACATTATAATAATACCCGTTGATGAAATAGGTGCAAATATATTTTTCAGTATTCATAATCGAATCTTCTAAGAACACATAGTTGCGGCTTAATATCATAATGTGTCTAATTAAGTGTTTAAGGTACAAAATGCAATTATGTCTATACTTCTGAGAAATACTGGACATTGATCCAATGTAGGTGTGGTTCACATGTACCAGCAGAAACGTTTATATTGCTGCAGTGTTCTGTAAGTGCAGGGATGGGCCATTCTTGAGCCAGCACCCTGCAGGTTTTAAACATGCGTTTTGTAGCAGCAGTTTAAGATGTAAAAAAACAGGTGGTTTGGCTCCTTGTTTCAGTAATTACTTTACATATATAGATAGATAAGACTTTATTAATTGATGAACATAATGACAGGCAGGTGGCTACGAGGCACTTGCAAATTAATGTTGCCAAGTTTAAATGTATGGAGAAATTAAGAATACCCTTATCCACGTTTTCTTTAACTTGAATAGTTTACGTGAGAGGGCAAATACTTTTGGCTTTGCTTTATACCTATGGGCAGTGGAGAATCTACCCCATAACATCTACCATCAACCATGTTTCAGATAAAATATCTGCAAATATAATTTTGGCTGCAGATCAGAATCACCCAGCATGTGTGACATGATCTAATTCCAACCTCAAACCTCAGATTGTCACTCAACCAGAAAAATCTATCATTACTAAAATATTTGGATTTCTGGGAGCTCAAGAGCGAACATGTGATTAAAAACAAATGGAGCAAAGGTCTCTGCATCTGTTACTTTTTAACCGGATTATTGCACATGAAGAGAAGTAAAAGACTTTTCTTGATTACCTGCATACTGATATTCTTGGAATCTGAGCAAATCATTCGCTATTGCAAGTTTATTCGTTAAAATCAAGGTGTGTCTGTTTTAAACACTGCACAGCTCACTAGGTTTGGTTGGAGCACCATGAGTCTGACTGCTGAGAGACACTTCATCCCACTCAGTGATGGAAATAAAATGCCACTTATAGGACTGGGGACCTACGGTGACCCACGGACAGTAAGAACATTTTTTCTGCATCTTTCTGCTGAAAAAGACAGTTGAAATAATCTTGCATAATATGCTCACTTGTTCACACCTTGTCTAAGAGTACTTAGGGTATACCTTACATTGTATCCTGTTGCTTGCTGAGATAGCCTCTGGGTCCTTTGTGACTCTGAACTGCAGGAAGTGGATTTTGAAAATGGATCTATTAAAACAATTTTAAACTGAGATATTTTTTTTAGAACTATGTGTTAAAAACCCACCTAGCAGTGAAAGGAGCCTTTGCTGCAATATTTTGCAGGTAAAACCGTGCAGTAATGAATTCATTGTGCAGTTTTAAAAAGCCACTTTTAAACCCAAATTCATAACATTATTTGAATTGGAAATCCAAAATATCAAGTTCCGTTGTATCTCTCACAGCAGAGTGATCAAGTAATCCATGAGACTGTATTTCAAGAAATACAAAAATAATCTATCTTCACTGATTAAAAAATGTTTGAATTGCTGACACGGCTGATACTATCTTCAAGTAATTAAGTAGCTCTTCATGGACAAATTGCCTTCAGCACTTCATAACATAATAATGTAACAGTTGTCAGCACTGTCAGTACTCTAATCTCACGAAAATGAATAACAGTAAGAACAACAGTCCCTTTTCATACTACCGGTCTTCAGAGTTATTTGCTATAACCTTGGATCTCTGGGGTTGCTATATTCCTTGCTTTCCTGGCATTCACAAAATCATTTACTGGCATATTTCGGTATATCAACTATTTTGCATTCCTTAAGTTCACCTGCAGCACAAAGCTCACTGTACCCTATGATCAGTTATGCCACTTGATAGCTCATCTGATTTGTCTGAGTTTTGCTAACTCAAACAAATAAACACAATGCAGTCAGATTTGCCTCTGACTCAGTTGCACCCTCTCTCTTTTCCAGCTTACTCCTATGGCTTTGCTTAGGTGGTCCTTTGTAACTACAATTGCTTCGTTGAGGATTAGACAAACACATTCATTTCTGTTTAGAACTGGGTTCTTGGATTAATATCAAACAACTGCAGAGCAAGTGTGGAGTGTGCACACAACTGAAGCACCACAGAGCAGTAGGTGCTGAACGGAACAAGATGTATCCCAACAGCAGATATGTTTTCACATGGATTCTCCGAACACTCCAAACTGCTTTATTTCCGTAGTGGTCAGTGACACTGGGAGAGCTTTCCAGATGCTGATGGCTCAAATTAAAACTTGTCATTGACAATCTACTGCAGTGCTCATCTAGATTCACCGAAAACCAGCCTGCAACTCACAGCTGGCAGCCCCACTGAAGCTCAGCAGGTGTGAGCCTGGTCAGTACCTGGATGGGAGACTCCTGGGAAAAACTAAGGTTGCTGCTGGAAGAGGTTTTAGTGGGGCCAGTAGGGGGGCGCTCACCCTGCGGTCTGTGTGGGTCCTAATGTCCCAGTATAGTAATGGGGACACTATACTATAAAAAGGCGCCGTCCTTTGGATGAGACGTAAAACCGAGGTCCTGACTCTCTGTGGTCATTAAAAATCCCAGGGTGTTTCTTGAAAAGAGTAGGGGTGTAACCCCGGTGTCCTGGCCAAATTTCCCACTGGCCCTCACCAATTATGGCCTCCTAATAATCCCCATCTATGAACTGGCTTCATTACTCTGCTCTCCTCCCCACTGATAGCTGATAGTGGTGAGTGTTCTGGCGCACTATGGCTGCCGTTGCATCACCCAGGCGGGGGCTGCACATTGGTGGTGGTAGTCGGAGTCCCCAATACCTGTAAAGCGCTTTGAGTGGAGTGTCCAGAAAAGTGCTCTATACTGTAAGTGTAAGAAAATATTATTATTGTTGTTGTTTTTTATGGTAGACTCCAAAAGGCACCTGTTATGAATCGGTTAAGCTGGCAATTGATGTTGGATACCGACATTTGGACGGGGCCCTGGTATATTTCAATGAACACGAAGTTGGACAGGCTATCCGAGACAAAATTGCTGAAGGTGTTGTCAAAAGGGAAGACATCTTTTACTGTGGCAAGGTAATGCTTCTTTTTTAACCCTTATGTTTTACCTCTTTTTAACCCTCATGTAATCCTCTTTTATCGGGACAAAGGGAATGCCCAGAAAAGTCCTCTGATCTGAGACTTGAAGTTAGGATATTGCTATGATTACACGCACATCCAGAGTCTTTGTTATCCTTGTTGGCTTTATGTGGAGCTAATTTCAGCGAGAAAGACCCCTTCATTTCAGGAAGAGCTACAGGAACAGTCAATGAGATGTAACTCATGATTTTTCAAGAACTCTTACTGGTGAGTGGGCACAGGCCATTCATCTCCAGAATGCTGAAAAAGAGTAAGCGATCGACAAAACAACAGCACCCAGGTCAGCCAGCAGACCTCACTTTCAGCTTTAACAGAACATTTAAAGAAGAAAATCTTTATCATCACAAAGTTTTCTAGCCTTTTATTTTATTACATTTCAAGCTTTGGAATACCTTCCACCCCCCTGAGCTGGTCAGGCCTGCCTTAGAGAGGACTCTGAGGACTCTGCAGCTTGACTACGTTGATCTCTACATAATTGAACTTCCTATTGCCTTTAAGGTACATCGACTTCCTTTTCAGAACATTATTTGCTCAACATTGCCAACATGCCAGCAGCCATATCACCCTGCAACTCACAGCTGGCAGCCCCGCTGAAGCTCAGCAGGTGTGAGCCTGGTCAGTACCTGGATGGGAGACCTCCTGGGAAAAACTAAGGTTGCTGCTGGAAGAGGTGTTAGTGGGGCCAGTTGGGGGCGCTCACCCTGCGGTCCATGTGGGTCCTAATGCCCCAGTATAGTGACAGGGACACTATACTGTAAAAAGGTGCCGTCCTTTGGATGATATGTAAAACTGAGGTCCTGACTCTCTGTGGTCATTAAAAAGCCCAGGGTGTTTCTCGAAAAGAGTAGGGGTGTAACCAAATTTCAAATTTCCCAAATTTCCCCCTGGCCTTTACCAATCATGGCCTCCTAATAATCCCCATCTATGAATTGGCTTCATTACTCTGTTTTCCTCCCCACTAATAGCTGATGTGTGGTGAGTGTTCTGGCGCACTATAGCTGCTGTTGTATCATCCAGGTGGGGGCTGCACACTGGTGGTGGTGGAGGGGAGTCCCCATTACCTGTAAAGTGCTTTGAGTGGAGTGTCCAGAAAAGCACTCTATAAGTGTAAGCAGTTATTATTATTATTAATTAATAATTATAATAACAACAGCATAAATGAATGTATAAGAACATTTTTCTTTCACTGTAATGCTTAGACTCATGAGGACAGCTTAGTTTTACAATTTTGGACAGTCTACATACAGTATTCTCATTCAAAACTGTTTTTACTGTACTTTCAATGTCAGTCGATGAAAGTTTACCTTTCGCCTACTTAATTACCTTTTACCTACTTACTAGCCTACCTACAGATTCCTACGTGTAACGTCAAAGATCTCAAATTAACCTAGTTGCTTAGAACATTTCTTGTTAAATGTTAAATGATGAGCGCTTTCTTAATAAATGTACACCACACCGTTGAGCACAAAAGGTTTCAGTGCTGCAAAATAGACAAATAATTGTTCAGTGCAATGATGTGAGTTAAAGGCAAAACATTAAAATTGGTTTTAAAATAAACCATTTAGTTACACACTGCCCTGCATTTCCATTCATAAGAACCCACATTTTAATACATAACGTCTAATTTTCATGTACTGTACCTTATTGTGCACTCTGGGTTATTGTAGTTATTTAACTGAAACTGATACAAAAACAGTTTTTGTTTCATTTTATCTGATTATTTAACAATCGTATTAAACAACACAAAAGTGTTGCTTACACTTATACAGCGCTTTTCTGGACACTATACAGGTAATGTATAGTGGTAATGTAATTACACTTCACAGGTAATGTATCCACCACCACCCGTGTGTAGCCCCAACCTGGATGATGTGACAGCTCCCATAGTGCAACTCACCACACATCAGCTATAAGTGAGGAGGAGCGCAGAGTGTTGAAGCCACATCATAGATGGGGATGCCGGGCTAACACCCCTACTCTTTTCGAGAAACACCACAGAGAGTCAGGACCTCGGCTTTATATCTCATCCGAAGGATGGCGCCTTTTTACAGTATAGTGTCCCCGTCACTATACTGGGGCATTAGGACCCACATGGACCACCGGGTGAGCACCCCCTACTGGCCCCACTAACACCTCTTCCAGCAGCAACCTTAGTCTTTCCCAGGAGGTCTCCCATCCAGGTACTGACCAGGCTCACACCTGCTGAGCTTCAGTGGGCTGCCAGCTGTGAGTTGCAGAGTGATATGGCTGCTGGCATTTAAATGGTATAAAAACAGAATAATATGAACTCGTTTAATCATAGGATGGCCATAAACTTGAAAATGACCTTCACTAGAAAATCTTAATCTCATCCTGATATACAATAACAGTCGTTTGGTATTTCAGCACCTTGCAAAAGAATTCACCCTGTGTCCTTTTGTGTCGAATTAAAAATGATGTATACATTTTTTATCACGACTGAAGCTAAAACTGGACATGTTCATGGATGATAGAAGTTAAATGTCAGCAAAAACAAATATAGTTTGTTGATTTCGGAAGTATTCACCCCTCTGAGTCGATACTTAGTGGGAGCACATTTGCCAATCAATCACTCAAAGTTTATTTATCAAATGCACAACAATACAGCGTGCAGGAGTAGTTGCTGGCAATTAAATGTTTTTTCTGAAAGCTCACCGGGGGGG